GGTGGTTCTGAATCTGAGACAGGACTAGGAGAAGGAAAATAATTGTTGAAAGAGGTGCCAGAATGTGTAGAAAAGGGAAAATGATCCTCATGGAATTTGACATCCCTTGAGACAAGAATCTTTCCACTGTCTAACTCCATAACCTTGTAACCCCTTTGATTGGAAGGATACCCCAAAAAAATGCATTCCCTAGCTCTAGGTTGGAATTTATTCCTACCATGAGCTAAGGTAGAGACAAAACAAAGACAACCAAAAACTTTAAGATGTGAGTAAAAAGGTGATGTACCAAAAAGAATTTCATAAGGAGTCTTCCCTAGAATAGCTTTAGAGGGTAATCTGTTGAGTAGGTGAGTAGCAGTTAAAATGCACTCACCCCAATATTGAATAGGAAGGTGAGCTTGAAAAAATAGCCCCATGGGAACTTCCAAAAGGTGTTTATGTTTCCTCTTCACTACCCATTCTGTTGAGGTGTGGCTACACAAGATCTCTCATGAAAATTCCTTGAGAATGAAGGAACATTGTCTCTTGACTACCCCTTCCTAGTTCCAAAGCATTGTCAGATCTTATCCTTTGCACCTTTAATTCAAATTGTCTTTCCACCATGGCTAAAAAATCCTTAAGTACTGGAAAAGCATTACTCTTAGTCTTTAGGAGAAATGTCCATGTACCCCTGCTAAAATCATCTACAATGGTCAAAAAATAGTTATAACCATCATGAGTGAAAGTTTTGAAAGGTCCCCATGTGTCAATATGTATCAGCTCAAATATCCTTTTAGATTTAATGCTACTGACAGGAAAGGGCAGCCTGCTTTGTCTAGCTTGAGGACAAACAGGACAAATGTAAGGAGAAACAGAAGGGAATGAAATGAAATCAAGATTTTTCATTGCTGAAAAAGGCAAATGCCCCAGTCTTACATGCCATAGAGCTATATCAGAAACAACATTGGCACAAATAGGAACTGAAACAGACCTAAGATTAGAACTAGAAACTGAAACTGATACATTACTGGAAATATTTCCTTTTGGAATTGAAATTAAATCACTAGAGACAACTTTGGAATTTCTTCCTTTTTGAAAAGAAATATCTTCTTTAAGAGACTCTGATTGCATCCTAGGTGCCTTGAGTAGTTAAAGACCATCTCCTACTTCACCAAAAACTTGTTCCTTCTTCATTAAATGGTCATGTAATACGCAACCACTAGGAGTGAATAAAACATTACAATTGAGATGATTGGCTAACTTATGAACTGATAATAAGTTATATTTGAAATTCGGGACATATAAGACATTGTGGAGAGTGAGATTAGACAATATACTTATGCTTTATATATGTGTCACAATGATCTTAAAAGAGTTAGGTAAAGTGAGATGCAAAGGCATAGATAGAGGAAGCAAAGAAATAAAAGATTTAGAATCAAAACACATGTGCTCAGATGCTCCTGAGTCAATAATCCAAGTCCCAGAATTATAGACTGTAAAACATGATCCCGAGTATTTTAGAATTGTACCGGCAACTGCATTTGCATTGATTGTTGTCCCTAAACTTGCTCCCTGATTATTTTTCACATCCATCCTTACTTGATTGACCAGATTTAAATATTGTTCTTTGCTCAAAACCTGGTTATAATGTTCTTTGTTAGGGAACTGGGGGTACCACATGTTCCTTGAATCCTCATGATTCCCACTAAAAGCTTCACCCTCTTCCCCTGTAACTACTGCATTTCCTTTGACCAAATTCTGAGAATTCTTTGTCTTAGTAAACTCAAAATCATCTGGGAAACCAATTAGCCTAAAACAGTCATCATACACATGTCATGTTCTTCCACAGTAGGTACAGCTCACATTTGGATTATATTTCACTCTCCTTGGTTTATTTTTGGGAAATGTTTTCCCAACCTTTTGATTGCCAGGATTCCCAGATTTCTGTGTTGCTTGAGCTCCTTTAAATGGTTGGTTACCAGATCTGTAATTCACTCTTCCTTGACCTCCCACCATGAAAGAGGCAGCATCAATTGTGTTAGCAACATTAACATAAGCTTCCTTTTGGTTTTCACCCTGCAAAACTAAAGCATAAGCATTGTTAATAGAAGGTAGTGGATTGATCATTAAGATGGTTCCTCTTGCTTGAGCATATGTGTCATTTAAACCCATCAAAAATTGAACAAGTCTTTGATCCTCCAAAGACTTGATAAGTTTTCCTTTGCCTTCACATGTGCACACACAACTACAACATGATAACAGATCTAGAGAATCTAGCTCATCCCACAAACGTTTGAGCTTGGTGAAATATCCTGCAATATCATTGTTCCCCTGAACTAAACTTGATATTTCCTTTTGCAGGTGGTAAAGCTTAGCGCCATTGGTTCTGCCAAACCTTTGCTCCAGACTATCCCACAACTCTTTTGCTGTTTTAGAGTAAATGACGTTGTCTCCGATGTCCTTAGACATTGCATTCAACAGCCAAGACATCACCATGTCATTGCAACAACTCCATTGCTCATAATTTGGAGAAAGCAGATCTGGAGTTTTGCATACCCCATTGATAAACCCCAATTTCTTTTTGGCTGAAAGTGCAACCAGAATAGATCGCCTCCATCCTGCAAAACCTCTACCATCGAATATTGAATTGATCAAATTCATCCCTGGTGAATCTGAGTTGTTCAAGTAATAATGGTGGGTGTTGTTAATGGTTCCACTGGTTTCAGTTTCTTTGGATTGTGTTGAAGGAAGATCATCTCCCATGATTGATCAAGATTTTAGAAGATTGAAAAATGATAGAGATTGGATCGAGCTATTGCTCTGATACCATGAAAGATAAAAAAAATGAAGATGATTTGGGGAATTTTCTCTGTGTCTATTGATCAATAATTACAAAACTTTATACAAGAAAATAAGGACTAATCTGCAAATAGTAAAAGGCTACTAGATAATTTCCTAAACTATGTAACTAATTACAACTAATATCTGTACAGCTCATCTATTCTAGAAGGTGTTTTATTTCATGTCACTATTGGGCTGAATGTACACTGGATATACTCTATTTTGAGCCCAATTACATTAAGCCCTTAATGAAGGATAAAACTTCAGCCCAGGTCAAACTTCAAACTTTCTCCGACAAAATCATCCTTGATCTAGAAGCATCAAGTCTTCTCTCTTGTCTCAATCATTTCATCATCTTCTCCCTTCTTCTGTGTGTCAATGGAGGAAGAGTAAATCTTCTCTCCAACTAATCTATCAAAGAAAGGGAATCACGCAACTTTTGTTGATAGTATGAAATTCTAAATAAAAATTCCAAATTTTAGGATTAATATTTTACCGATAGTCATCTAATTAACTATCGATTTCACAAATACCACAGAATTCATGAGTTTGGCGAAATAGAGATCTATTTATACCTAACTCTTACGGCATCTTTATCGTGTTCATTTTGATTTATTTCCAATTTCTCAAAATTCATAAACTTGGCAAAATATTCAGGATGTATATATATCTATACCTAGTTCCTATGATATCTTTTAGCGTGCACATTTTGACTTTTTCAAGATAGACTTTATTACGATTATTGAATTTTTCATATTGTACACACACTGTTACTAGCTAGATAGCACCGAGCTTGTTTTTTTATCTTTCTATTAATTGTTGATCAAATAAAAGTCCGTATATTATATATGGTACTAAAAAAGACAAGATGAAGTTGTTCAGATGGTAAGCACCCTTCACTTTCAATTCTAATATCGTGAGTTTGAGTCACCAAGAGAGAAAAAAGTTGAAAACGGATAAAAATATATAATTCTAAAAACATAATTGATTTGTCAAATTTAAGAGTTCATCTTATCCTAAGTATACATGTACAAGAAGCTTACGTCTCTTACTTTGTCCATCCATAAACATATATATATATATACACTATATAGTTGAACATTTGAAAATGCTTGTGATACAATTATTCAAATATGTACAAGAAGTTCAAAGATTATAGATGGATTTATAATTGTTTTCCCACTGTTTAATGTGTAAATATTTAAGGCACACATAGGTTACACAGAGAAAATGTCAAACCATATATACATAATTTAATTATGACTAAACGGCTAGAAAATTGATAGTCAATTCTATATTATAATTTTCAAACTAACATAGAATATTCAAACCTTCATCGTTCATTTCTACTCTATAAATAGCTCTTCTTCGTTAATTTCATTATATCCATTCACATAATTTATCGACTACAACAATGAAAGTTATTAACATCACACGTTTCATAGTACCTTTTCTTCTTGTCACATTATTATCAACGACATTTTTCCTCGTAAAAGCTCAAGACGTTGCTGAACCAGTACTCGATGTTTCCGGTAACGCTGTCCGTAGAGGAGTGAATTATTACATCCTTCCAGCGGATCGGGGCAACGGTGGTGGACTTCAAGTTGCATCCATTAGGAACCGGACCAACCCGCTGGTTGTAAGCCAAAACGCCGATGAATCTGTAATCGGCGTTAACGTTCAATTTTCACCAGTGGATCCTAAAGAAAATACCGTTAGATTATCGATTGATATGAACGTAAAATTTACGTCTATGGTAATATCTGATTCTTTCACAGTATGGAGAATTAATACTGAATTAATTCCAGAACGTTATTTGGTTACGATTGGCGGAGTAGAAGGAAATCCTGGTCGTGAAACTTTAGGGAATTGGTTTAATATTGACAAGTACGAGGATGCTTACAAACTTGTGTATTGTCCTGTTGTTTGTGAGATATGTAGACCGTTTTGTGGAGAAATAGGTATACTTGAGGAAAATGGAAAAAGGGTTTTGTTTGTTGGTAGAGATCCACCTCTCAAAGTTACATTTCATAAGGTCTAGAATTATTAATATTTTATACTATGGTACTAAGTATATATAATATGTGTGTGATTCACTGTATATAGTTTGTATCAGTGAAGAAATAAGGAAGAGTATGTCTTCTAGTAGTGTTGATAATGTAATGGAGTAATAAAGATTGTTATGACTTTTATTCGTGAAATTACTGTTATATATAGTGTATAATACGTTATACGTGCACTATAAATACATATAAAAATAAGATATGAAATCCCATTTAAGATTTGTCAACTTATAGATAATATTGTAATAGCATAAGGGTGGTCTAAAGTCAAAATTAAAAGATTCCTTAATTTTTTTGACATAATGTTTTGTTCATTTTATTATAAATTTATTCTTATAGCTTATTCAATCTCGTTAGTTAATCAATTTATTTTCGCTCGATAGATTTTATTTGATCTGATATTGTATAGGATGAAATGGAATAAATGATAGAGGATTTTTTACTTCTCTGAAGATATTCAAATAAACAATTCCAATAAAATCTTTCAAATTTCTTATTTTACAATATATGTATACGTTCATCAATTTCTCGTGAAGTCAAATTCTTATAAATAATACGGATTAAGGGAATGGACTGCTAGCCTCGAAAGTTGAACTTGAAATGAGGATAGCTATTAAGGCCTCATCTCTTTTTTGGAGGTTTGAGAATAAAACCGTCCCAAATTTGCGGGGCGGTCTTAACCCCTAGGTCACTAAAATCACCGCTTGGAGCTCCATATTTTGGGGGGCCCCATATTTTAGGCAAAAAATACGTATAAATATTATTTTTTTTAAAAAAATATATGTACTATGAGTGTTATGATTTCTACTAAGGAAATTGCACATGATATGAATATAGAACCTGAATTTCGTAAGACACAATTTGATGAAAATATTGATAACAAAATCATAAAATCCCTTAATCAAGCTATTTTTTCACTTTAAAATAGATTTGAATCAATGGAAGCATATGAAAATATTTTTGATTTGTTATTTAGTGATAAATTGAGATCACTAGATGAATTGTTAACTATCTTTAACACATAATAGTTATTCTAATATTCATGATTTAGATTTATTTTTTGAATTTAAAATGTTAATAGAAATAATATAAGTAGAAGATAATGATCTAATGAAAATACTCAATCAAATAAAAAGACTTGATTATTTTCCAAATATGCATATTGCTTATAAAACAATGTTAACCGTTCTTGTAATTGTTGCCTCAATCGAAAGAAGTTTTTCGAAACTGAAGTTGATTAAATCTTATTTTAAGATTAACAATGTCTCAAGAGAGATTTAAAGGATTAGCTACATTATCAATTTGAAAGACATTATTAAAATTAATCGATTATAAAACAATAACTAATGACGTCGCATCTAAAAAAGTTAGAAAAGTAGATTTTAAATAAAAGTATATATGATAAAAAAGAAATAGGGCCCCTCTCTTAAATTTCACTTTAGGCATCCAATCTTGTTGAGTCGGCCCGCAAATTTGTTAGTACATTATTTCAAGAGCAAACTACATAAATCCCACTATTTTAGATCCTAATTACTAGTATTCCCGTTAGTTTTTTATATTACTTTATATACCATTTTTTGGCTTTCGAATACATGTATCATGGCCCGTCAGATACATGTATCCATCATATTTAAAAATCAAGATACACTATTTCATTACTTTTGAATTAAATGTTGTAACTTATTTCCTTAATTAAAGGAGTAAATGATGGAAATTAACAACCAAAATGAATATAGAGGATTCTTCCAAATCAACTATTACCAGTTTTACTAAAATATAAAAGTCATAAACCTTAGTATTTCTGAAACTGTAAACTTCATCTTCTTCATCAATACCTTTCTGAGTATCCTCAAGTTTCGAGATTTTTTTTTCAAATGATCAATATCACAGTATTATTGAGGCATTCGGAGGATTCATGGCTCTCTGAAATCGAATAAAAAATAAAAAATTGATGGAATACAATTTAATAGCGCACAACTTGCCGACACTGATTTCTGATCTTGACAACGTTTCTGGGCCATCAAACAGGGAGTGATGCTTTGTTAAGCCAACCCAGGAGGTGCTCCTTGGCACCCCATCTACTCCCACTCTATGTCAATTCCTCCTCGAAAGGAATAACACAGAGTCAGTATTATTACTGCTAAAATAATATTGCATACCACCAAAAAATCAATCAAATCAAAACACACTGAATTTGTCCATGGCTTTAACATTGTCAGATTTCATAACACTATGAATTGAGTGTACACGTAAAAGTATTGAGATCAGATGTATGATGGAAGACAATTTGATTATAATAATGGAAATTTGAAGTGAGATATTTTATGAAATTTAAAAGATGTAAATTTGATTGCGGGTTATATTCATTATGCATAACAACTAAAGATCAAAATTTTAAATGTAGTAATAATGGTGAAATATCTTTTGAGCGAGATACATCAATTGCTCGATTGGAGTTGAAGTTAGAACCGAAACTACATGTAATGCTACTTCAGATACATATATATAAATTCGTTCATTTCTTTTCCAGAAACACAAAAAGTGTATAAATATTCTTCTTCCTATTAATTCGATTTTCTTTCTTTGAATCTCGATTCCTAATCTTCATTTCGAATTGTAACCATGATGGTGAAGTTATTTTTTTAGCCAAATCATCATCTTTTCGTTTTGAAATTGTAAGTGTTAGTGCTGCAAAAATAATTTGAGATATAAAGACAATGAAAGCTTAACATAAAATAATCAGATACATAAAGCTATTATATCAACTATATTAATAAACATACTAAATATAACCAGAGAGGCATATGCACGCCAGATACATTAACATAAAAATGAGATACAACACATTAACGATTTAAGTACATTAATAGAAGTAGATACAAGACATTGGAAGTTTAGATACATTAACAAAAAGATAGATACATAAAAATATTAAATGAGATATAGGAAAAAAAAACACTAGATACATAGGGCAATTAAAATCAAGGCGGACTAAAATCAAATACAATTCATAAAGTTTAGATACGTTGAAATTACAATTAGATACATATGAAAATTAAACTAGATACATAATGAAATAATTTTATCAAGTTCTGGAGACATGGCAAAGGGAAACTTGATGAGAGAGAACAAATATTAATTATAATTGGATTATTAATTTTGGTGTTTAAATGTAAAGATAATTAATCAATTCTAGTTTTAAGGAATTTGTGTATCTAATATTATATTTTAAAATATAAGGTATAAAATATTAAAAGTGGTAATAGATGTAATTGTTTGAAAGTAGAGATAATATTAGTATATATGGTAGAGATGTATGTTTAGTTAGATAGTTTTTCCTTATTTCAAATTGCGACTGTTGACACCCAATTTTGACCCTCCCCGATGTAAATTAATCATCGAGCTTCTTAAATTTCAAACGATTTCGAATAATTAGTTTTAGAAAATTATAAAAAAATATAAAAAATAAAAATAAATATATATATATATATATATAAAAAAAATTAAATAAAAATATTTTCAAGTCATTTTAAATAGTTTATCACTTATTTATAATTTTTAAATAATATACGTGTTATGTATATAATTACCATATTTTATGAATATTCAAAAATCGTCTCAAAAAAGAGTATGGTTTAATTAAATATTCAATTAAATTAATTTGGTTTAAAATACTTATAAGTTATTTAGTTTATTAGTTTAATTATTCTTATTTTATGTTATTTTATTTTGTTGATTTGAAAAGTGCATTTTGTTGATTTACGTTCTTTAAGTTTTGGCGGTAGTTTATGTTAATTAGTTTATAATCAAATTATTTATTTTATTTCGTTAACATTAAGAAACTCATTAATTAATTTATATTAATTCGTCTTATTTAGTTACTAGCCGAATTAACTAAACTAATTCAATTTGGCTAGATTGTTAATTCATCTACCTAACCCTTTATTCCAATTCTAGTCATTTATTCCCTCACCCTAACTCAAATTTGAGACCAAGTTGGCCCAATTCTATACCAAAACCCATCCCCTTTTGTTTTCCAATTCAGCCGAGACCCATTCCCAATTCCTAACAATTCTATAACCCACCAAAAGCCAACAATATAATACCCATCCAGACCAGCCCAATAACCTTTGACCCGGCCCAAATCCTTGTCCAAAAGAGGACCCAACGTGAAATTTCCACAAGCAACATTCATCAGCAGATAGAGACCAAAACAGAGCAACTTTCCAGACGCTAACAGCGATCAAATGGAAAGCAACAACAACGTTGATTTTTTCAAGCGATTTCAAACGGACATAGACGGAAAGCAGTCTGCTACGTTTCCTCTGTCTTCTCCCCTCAAATCGTACAGTAGCAGAAGCATGCGTCTGCCCCATTTCCTCTTCCGGAATGGGGTGAAACCTCAAGGAAAAGGGTGTTTAACCGAAATGGTGAAAGAATTTTGAATTTGAATTTTTGAAATGGGCTTTTGAATCCGATTATTTCACCCGAATTCCCCCCAAAATTTGCCCTAATTTTCCTTCTACATAAACACTTATTATTCACTATTGAAGGGAGAGAGAACGTTAGAGACAGGGGTTAGATTTTTTGGGAGAAAAAAATTAATTTAGAAGAGATATAGGTTGGCCAGAATTTACCCATGAAATATAGCTTACAAAGGTTTGAAATAGTCGACTTTATATTTTGAAAAATTATTGGAAGACTCTCTAGTTCAAGAGTTTCAGAAAGTTTATTATTCGGGTTTCATTTGGATTCTCTTGGTGCGTTGTTCTAGCTTTGAATTCGTGTGGCAGAGAGGTCGAAATCAAGCTCGTATCTGTCCCGGAACGCTGCTCCGAAGAAGGTAATTCCGCCTCTCCTTACATTCTATTTCGGTATAATGTGTTGTAAGTCCGAGCTTTACTAACAGGTCCTACTATTGATGGCGTTTGGCATTTTCCTTCTCGAATCTTTACTTGAGTGTTATTGCATCTGTATTATTCATTTATATTGTGTTTAAGCTTC